GACAATAATAAAATGGTTATTCTGACATTAGTTGATTAATCCTTCCCTTCCCCAATTTATTTGTGAGGACTCTTTAACATTTGTTAAATTATGACATCATTTCTGGACTATATATTTTCTTTCTGCGGTCTGTTTTTCCTTTTGCCCTGTTTTAATTATTATGGCCTTATAGCATTGCTTATTATTCCATCTTCTTTTTTAGAGAGTCTTGCTTGCTTATTCCCCTAGTTGAACCTTAAAACCATCTAATCAAGTTTTTAAAAACCTTTTGAGGATTTGGGTAGGAATTACATTGAACAATCTATAAATTGATTTCTTTAAGAAAACAACATCATTTCAGTATTTTGACTTGTCATCAATGAACATGGTATATATCTTCACATCCAAATCTATTTTTTTTCCTTTTTTTTTTTTGTCTTTTTTCGTGTCCGGCAACGGATCACAACCCTCAGTGTTGCGCCCGTACCGGACCGGGACCGGCAACGGGATCGCAACCCTCGGCGTTGTTCCCACACCTCGCTCAGCCAGTGAGCGGGAACCGGTCTGTATGTGGGATCCGAACCCTCGGCGGGAGCGCCACCGCGCTCCCAAGCGGCGCACTGTAGCAGTGCGCCACCGGGCCGGCCCCATCCAAATCTATTTTTAAAAATATCTTTGTGAACTTTTCTACTTTACGTTGGTCAGATACATTTTCCATTACGATTATCTCTATGTATTTCATATTGTTGTTGCCATTTGGAATAGGGTCTTCAAAAACTGTATTTTGTTGATTAGCCACTCTGCTGAGCTCTTTTTGATTCATGTTGTTTGTCAGACGACTGCTTTGGGTTTCTGACGTTGTGTAGTCTTTGTGTGCACGTAATAACTCGATCTGTCTTTTTTCAATGTCTATGCTTTCTGCTCCATTGGCCAGAATTTTCAAGACCATATTTAGGGATACTGGTGATCAAAGGCATCCTTATTTTGCTTTTTGTTTTAAAGTGAAAGCTTCTGATGTTCCCTTGGTGTTGCTCCTGGCATGTATGAGGGGGTCTTCAAAAAATCAATGGAAAGATTCATGCTATCTTTTAATTCTATTTTTCCATGAATTTTTTGAAGTTCCCTCATATGATAAGATCTCTGTGCTGCTATCCAAAGGAGTTGGTATAATTCACAGCAACCACAACAAAAACTCCTTTCCAGCCTTTTGTGACTCTGTCACACAGCACCAGGTGATTTATTGTTTGGAAATATTGGTCTTTCTAGAATCCCCCAGCTTGCCCCAAACTCTGAGCCTGCAGTGCTGGTCTACTTCCAGCTGAGTCATTGATCCCTCTCTTTTGAAAGCCTGACTTCAGGGGATTTGTTCCTCCCCAGCAGGACTTGACACTCTCTTCTGCCAATCCCACCTGCCGGTATAAGAGCCATGCTTGACACTGGGCGGTAGCAGGGCTGGGGTTACCTAGTGCAGCCGTGGACCAGAGGAAGTATTAAAGACACGTCATGATAGGTTGCCCAGCAGAGGAGCCCTGTGGGCCCTCTGTCATCTGGACTTTTGCCCTCTTCCTACCTGTCCTCTTTCTTTCCTTAAACCACCTCAGTGAGGACACTGGCACCCCTGCCCAGCTCCCGAGCCTGCTGGACTTCTTCTGGCACTGTGCTCTGGGGTCTTCCCAGTCCAGTGGGAAAACAGACATGAAGCAAGGTTAATACAACACAGGGTGAAGAGGTCTCATTCACATTACATGAGATTCAGCAGTTGGAGCAACTAACTACTTAGGACAGTCAGAGAAGGCTTCATGGAGGAGGTGACATTTAAGCTGGGTATTGGAGCAAGAGTAAAAATTCTATGAGGCAGATAAAGGAAAACAGTTTTAATTATGATTATTTCCATACATTTTGTATTATTCTTTCTGTTAGGAATAGGATCTTTAAAAACTATATTTTATTGCTGACATATGGGAGTATTATTGAATTTTGCATATTTATTTTGGAGCAATCTGCAAAGGATCAGAGGCCTGGGATAGCCCAGCATCTTTGGAGCAAAGACAAGAGTGTTGAGAGATAGCTGGGTCTGTGCTGTCAGAGCTGGTGAGTGATCCTGGGGTTCAGGGCTTGGGAGGCAATCACCAGAAACGGGTGATCCAGGAAGGCTTCTGGAAGAGGCAGGATGGGAGCTGGCTTTGTGGCATAGAGAGGATTTGGATCGGGTGGGAAGGGGAGGGTAAAGGAGAAGGGGATGAGAAAAGCAACATTTGTAGCATTTCTGCTATGTATCTGCCAGGCACTTTGTTAGTCATTATTTTACTACATTTAATTTTTCCCAACATCGCTACTAGGCAGGTGAGGATACTCGCATTTTGCAGATAAGAAAACCGAGGCTCAGGGAACTTAAGTGACTTAGATGAGCTGAACAGCCTAATTTCTGAGCCTTCATGCTTTCAGTGTCTTCCTGCTGCCATATGTGTGTGTGTGTGTGTGTGTGCATATACATACATACATATATATATATATATATATATCAGCTTTATTGAGATATAATTCACACATACTAGTTTATCCATATAAAGTGTACAATTCAGTGGTTTTTTTTTTTTTTTCCTTTTTGTCTTTTTTCGTGACCGGCAACGGATCGCAACCCTCAGTGTTGCGACCGTACTGGACTGGGACCGGCAACGGGATCGCAACCCTCGATGTTGCGCCTGCACCTCGCTCAGCCAGTAAGCAGCCAGTCTGTATGTGGGATCCGAACCCTCCGTGGGAGCGCCGCCGCACTCCCAAGCGGCGCACTGTAGCAGTGCGCCACCGGGCCGGCCCCAGTGGTTTTAATATATTCACAAAGTGGCGCAACTATCACCACAATCCAATTTTACATTTTTATTACCCCCTCAAAGAGCCCTGCCACCCCTTAGTCACACCCCCAGACACCCCCATCCCCTGCAGCCCTAGTGCAGCCACGAATCTTTTCTATCTCTATGGATTTGCCTGTTCTGGACATTTCATATAAATGGAGCCATACAGTATGTGGACCTTTGTGACTTCTTTTGCTTTAGCCTCATGTTTTCAAGGCCCATCCATGTTATAGCATGGATCGGTGCTTATTTCTTTTTATCGCTGAATAATATTCCTTTTTATGGTTGTTTCACATTTTGTTGATCCCTTCCTCAGTTGACGGACAATTGGATTGTTTCCACTTTTAAGCTATTGTGAATAATGCTGCTATGAACATTCGTGTGTAATGTGTTTTTGTGTGGACATATGTTTTCTTTTTGCGGGGGGAGGGGATACCAAATTTCTTTATTGAAGGAATGGTACAAATGAAGGAACTTACGTGGATGTTTTGGTACAGCTTATAGAAAAGGTTAAAGGAAACCCTAACATGCATACCCTGCCTTGGTGACCAGGGAGGTCACCCCATGGCTCCAAGGAAGTTAGCTTAAGGCTTAGCTCTTGTTATCACTCTCTCCCAGGGTGTGCTTGTCAAAGAGATATTCTGCTATGCCAGATTCAGGGGCTCCCATCTTGTGTGAGTTGTTTACATGGTCACCCAATTCTTTGATGGATTTCATCTGTTCATTCATTCAGGTAATGCATCTCAATGAAGTCACACAAGTTGGGGTCACTTTTGTCAGTGGTCAGTGTGTGCACTTCCAGCAGTGACTGATCCATGCTTTTTCCAAGTGCAGTGCATACTCCGTTGCATTCAGCCCGCTCTCCTAGTCTGCAGAGTCTGGTTTCTTGATCTCCTGGAAGAAGATTCAGCCACCTCCTTGGTCTTTCATCCTCATCAGTTTCTCAGCATGTTCCCTCTCCTCATGAGACTGGTGAAGAAAGTACTTGACAATGTTCTCCTTTTTTTTTTTTTTTTTTGTCTTTTTTACTGACCGGTAACAGGATCGCAACCCTCGGTGTCGTGCCTGTACCGGGGACTGGCAACGGGATCGCAACCCTCGGTGTTGCGCCCGCACCACGCTCAGCCAGTGAGCGGGAACCGGTCTCCACATGGGATCCGAACCCTCGGCGGGAGCGCCACCGTGCTCCCAAGCGGCGCACTCTCCAGTGCGCCACTGGGCCGGCCCGACAATGTTCTTCAAAGCCACATCATCATGGTGAAAGTAGGAAGACAGGGACAGGTAGACGTAGGAGGTGCAGAGCTCCAGGTTGATCTGGTGGTTGATGGCAGCCTCCAAGTCCTGGTGGACCTTGTAGTTCTGGCAGACATGGTCGTCATCATAGCAGCTGAGGAGAGGTGGCAGCAGGGAGCTTGGGGCAATCCAAGGGTGCCATGTGGAGGTGGCAGAGGGCTGGTTCTGAGGGGCCAGCCGTTGTGGGGACAAGTGCTGGGTTAGGTCCAAGCACTGTTGAAGCAGGAAACCAGGGCAATTCTTGATGAAGAAGGTCTGGCCTGTTTTCGTTTTTCTTGGGTACATACCTAGGAGTGGAATTGCTGGGTTATATTGTATAACTATCTGTGCATAACTATTTGAGGAACTGCCAGAGTGGTCTTCACGGTGGCTTCTTTGCTGCTTCTTGTGCAAGGCTTGCCTGCAGCGAGGCAGGACTCAGAGGAAGGTCAAAACACAGAGTCGGTGCGAATTGCTTTTTTTCAGAGAAGAATGTTGTGCACTTCTAAGACTGGCTTCATTGTTGAGTCTTTGATGATTCCAAAAGGTCATGTGGATTCTTCAGGGCCTCAAGTATCCTCAAGTATACTGCTATGAATGCTGGTCTTCATTGTACTGGCAGAGTTCTGCCTTGTGCATTCCAGCTAGTAGGCTTGATGATAGAGAAGGCACTAGAATAAATCCTAAGATTCAGGATATGAAAGAGGGACAGGTGTGAGTTAATGCAGTTAAGGAAGGCTTCTGGAAGATGCGGGCAGGTTCTGCAGCCTGGTACAGGGATGCAAATGGGAGGGCAAGGAGGCTGGGAGGGGAGACCCATTGGGTCCATGTGGGTCTGTTGCAAGTTTTGAGGAAGACATGACTGATAATTCTGGTCTGTCTTTGTCCTGGCTGCAGACCTGGCCGAGTGCAAGCTGGTTTCCTTCCCCATTGGCATCTACAAGGTCCTGCGGAATGTCTCCGACCAGATCCACCTCATCACACTGGCTAACAACGAGCTCAAGTCCCTCACTAGCAAGTTCATGACTACGTTCAGTCAACTCCGAGGTAGGCCTTGGTCAACTGGAGGCCTGACCTTGTCTGGGGAGTGTCACCAGCACCAGTCCCTGGTCAGCTACTCATTCCCAGGAGTAGACTTTGAAGGTGGACATGTGTCCTTCCTGCAGCCTGGAAATCTAGGTCACTCCTGCCTCTAGCTGGCTGTGACTCAGACTGACCAAGAGCCAGGGGAGTAGGTGCTGAAGTGATTCTCTTATTCTGAACAGACCAGCAAGGCATGTGGGTCCAGAGGCCCAGGAGTAGCTGTTTCTCAGTAGCTTTGCATGAGCCCCTTCTCATCCTCCAATCTAGCATTGTTCTTCCATGCTGCTTTCTCAGTTCAGGAGTGACAGGTGCTGGGGTGTTGGCATTTTCTCTACTGGGCACACCAAGCAAGTGGACATGGGTGCTTGGCAGGGAGATGGGCGGGACGCCAGCAGGAGGGCATTGTAGGTTTTCTTGAAATGGCGCCTCCGGATGGAGGAGCAGGAGCCACCAACACTTCAGTGCCCACACCCTCTCCAGAGGACAGTCCCTCGAGCCCTCTGCGAGAGGCCATTGCTGCTCAGTGTTCCATGGGAAGGAACTGTGGCCTGGCACTTGTGTTTGCAAAACAGTAGGTAGGAGAATTGCAGAGGCCACAGGAAGCCTAGGAGAGGTGGTTCCTGCCTTCTGGAATTCTCTCTCTGATGGGGCATGAAAGGGCCCTATAATCTTTTGCATAGAAACAGATACATAAAATGCTGATGGTGCTGGAGGAACCTTAACAAGCCTCTCTCACAGAGCTCATTTTAGGCTGGGCAGGCTTCCTGGAGGAGGTGTGGGCATCAGGCATGCCCAGAAGGTAGAGGGAGGCACGAATTGGCAGACATGGTCCAGGGACAGGAATTTTGTACAGTAGCTCAGGAGAGAGCTACAGGCAGGACCTGGAAAGGCTACTGTCGAGGTGCAAAGGGAAGGGTGAGGAGGAGGGGTGAGTCTGTGCAGTCATTTCAGAGTGAAGCTCACAGAGCTCATCACATTCAGGCCTGAAAAGCTGAACCACTATCACTGGGGTGGGGGTGGGGGTTCTAGGGCAAGACTTGTCCCTTCAGAGGTGCCTGTGGGTTCTTTTATCCTGGCCCAATCCTCCTGCCTTGCCTTTCCTAGTGGCTGCTTTTTCACTCAGGCAAGATGGTTCCTTATTGCCGGCAGGCCCGTTTGACCAGTAATTCTCGACCCTGGCTGAGATGAGAGTCATCTGAGCTTTTCTACAGACGTTTGCTTCAGCTCTCCCCCAAGACCACTGGAATCAGAATGCCTGAGTGTGGGTGTGGGCCTGGGCCTAGGCATTTGTTAATACCTGTGCTGGTCATTCTGAAGTGCTGGCAGCCAAGGTTGAGAACCATTGTTCAGGGGTTATAAACACAAGTGCCTAAGAGCCTAGCATGTAAGTAATGAGTGACTGAGATTGTGCATATGACAACAGGGGATGGTGGGACTGTGGCAAATTAGTACATGCCCTGCTCAGCCTTAGCTGGTGTGCCACAAGAGAAAATGGGCCAGTGTTGTCCATTCTTCTGATCTTTTAATGGAAGCTGGGAATATGGATTTTTATGTGAATTTTCCCAAGTTTGACATAATCTGGAAGCCGATAAAACACATTTGCAAGCTAGATTTAGCCCATGGGCCACTAATTGAGAGAAACTCCTGGAAAATATGAGCACTGCCTGTACTGTCTCATTTCATGGATGGGGAAGAAAGGTCAGGGAGGGAAGGGACTTATCCAAGGTCTCAGATCAGTGCATCTGGAACTGGAACCCAGGATGCCCCCCTTGCAGGCCAGGGCTGCCTTTCCAGGCCACCTGTGTTAGCTCAAGGGTCTTCCAGTGCTGTATCCTACCAATTGGGATTGGATGTTTGCTTCCTAGTGGAGGATAGAAAGATTGAAAATGGATGGTAGGGGTTGTCTGGGGCCCCCAAGAAGGGCACAGTCAGGCAAGGGGGCTTCCTTTGGGTAAGAAGAGAGTTTATTTGTGCTTTCCTTCATTGGGCTATTTCTCGAGCACCTGTGTCTGGAGGCATGGAAACAGACGGCCTATACACCAGGGTCTCTCTGCAGGAGCCCAGGGTTGCAAGACAGATATCCTCACTATCAAGGGCTGTGATACTGATGTGAGCAAAGTGCTGGAAGGAACTGCTGGCAAGAGGAATGAATTCTTCCTGAGATGGGTGCGGGCAGGGGGTGGTACAGAAGCAAGAGCTTTCAGAGGACGTGACTGTTGCTTTGCATTGCTTCGCCCCCCACGGATTTGTCACCCCACTTCCCCTGGGTGATGGAGATGCAAAGGATTACTCAAAGCCCATCTCTACTGAGCAGTGAGAGGCCCTGGAGTGGTTAATCTCCCACAGGAACCCTCAAGCAAGAGGCATCCCTTCCTTGGGAAATTAATGCTGAATTGGGGTTCTCTTCCTGCATTTATTTTCCAGACCAGGAAGTTACAGGAAGAGAACAAAGGTGGGGTTATAGTTTAACAGTAGAGGCTGGTAACTTTCAGTGAAACAAGCCAGATGACATTCCAGTAAGGCAATTAAGTGGTCCTATCAACAAAAGCTTGATCTCAGCAAATATTCCTTCTTATAGCAATTTCTCAGTATCTTTACATAACTATCAGTAACTAGTCTGTCTTTGAGCCAGCAACCTGCTGTGCCACAATTCTTATCTTGCAACAGAGACTTATAGCCTGAGGAAAATTTCCTGTCCTTGCAAGGTCAATATTTGAAACTGCAAGGCTTTGGAAAACCAGGCCCTGTGAAGTACATATGCTTTTTAGTATATTCCACACGTGACATCTGGGGAGCAGCTTGTGGGATAAATAAGCATGCCCTGTCCAGGGGCACGGAGACTGTGCCAGAAAAATGCTGCTTTGAGCTCCATGTGTTCAGACCTCGCCTGCAGAATGTACTTGTCATATTCTGGTGAGAAGTCTGTTGAGGATGCTGTTTGACTTCCTTCCTCGCTGACTCCCCCACACCTGACTCTCCCTTGCCGCCTCGGATTACAAAGGGAAGGCTGGTGCGCCTGCCTGCTAATTGGATCTCATGGAGGCAGAGCATTGAGGGGCGCTCTGGCCACTGGCAGGGAGGGGCTGGAGCTGTGTGCCTCATCTGGCCCCCGCTGAGACGTGGCTCTGTGACTGAGCCTCTGTTGTGGTGTTTCTTTCAGATAGAAAAACCCCTTCTTTTGCGTGTGAACAAGAAGCATAAACAGTCTTTGTGGGGCTCTGCAAGGCCTGCTGTGTCATTTTCCAGGTACATGACAGAGGTGGGCTGCCTTGGTGCCAGGGAAGAGAACGATGTGCTTATTTCCTGTCTGCCAAGTCGTCTCCTGGGGCTGCCCTGGGGACTCTTCTGTGAGGCTCATGGCCCCCTCTGGTCCAGGTCATCTTTAAGTGATTCCTTTCCCTTGACGTCCTTCATCTGTTTCATGGAAGGAAAGAGCAAGACCTGAGAAAGCCAAGGGCACACATGGCATCAGTCTCAACGGCAGTTGGGCTCTGTGGAGAGTGGGTTCATGTGTCCCCCCTTCTCCTGTATCCCTGTCTTCCACTCCCTCCCGAGTGGGATAAATGAAGACCACCCAAATGAGAAAAGCAAAGGCTGTTTATTCTGAGTGTGCTGTATAGCAAGGGAGTCAGCCACCATGGCTGTGTTTTGGCAGACTCAAAGGCAGCCGGGGGAGTGGGAAAGCTTTATAGTGGAAAAGGGAAGGCTTCAGGTGCTCTGACTGGAGACTGCTGGCATGGAGAAGCTGCAGGTGGCTAACTAGGGGCAGGGAGGGGTGTGCCTGTGGACAACGTGTGTCAGGGCCCCAGAAGGGCTTATTTCCTGGAGCTCCAGGAAGGGAGAAGGGGAATCCCTGTGCATGATAAATGATCCAAAACTGGGGAGCCATCCTCAAAGGCTGGCAGGGAGGAGCTGGTGACCTGAAAGGGAGCTGTTGGGGTCACAGCATGCTGTTCTTCTCCCACCTCCTACTTTGCTTCAGCATTCTGGGTTTGCTTTTCTTTAGCTGATGTCACTTAGTGGACAAAGGAGAAAAGAAGAGGGGATCCAGACATGTGCTGGGGAAGCTAGGCAGGCACGGAAGCTTTGCAGTGGTCAGTTGGGCCCCGATGTCTTGGTCTTAGTCTTTTTGGAATTAAGCAGATCTACTCTATCAGGGCCATGCAGTTTCTGCACGGCCTGCTACGAGAAGAGCAGGGTTGGGGAGGGCTCCTCTCCCCTGGGTTAACCACAAGGGGCAAACCCAGTTGCTGACAATCAAGAATTTCCACCTGATACCAAGGCAGTGATAAAGTTGTGGCCCTTTGCATCAGTCTTTTTTTTTTTTTTAATTGCTGACCAGTATGAGGATCAAACCCTGGACCTGAGTGTTATCAACACCATGCTCTAACCAACTGAGCTAACTGGCCAGCCCATTGCCTCAGTTTTTGCCCTCTGTCCTCAAGGGCATTTGGCCCCTGGGGTTACCTGGATGACCTCAGTGGAGCAAAGGCCAAACTGTTTGTGACCCCTGTGTGCACGCTTCCATGGGTCAGCCCTCCCAGCAGAGTTAAAGGAACCCAAGTGTCGTGGGCTTCCACATCCTCAGAGTAGAATCCCAGAGATGGGATTACTGAGGACAGAGGGTATAAGCATTTTAAGTCTCTACTATGTAGCACAGATGAACCACCCAGCAGAGACCAGCCACCCACAGAGCTGGAGGAAGTAAGTTCAGTTCCCTTTGGAGGGGAGTTGGTGGCAGCTTGGAACCACACATGCCAGAGAGCGTCTCTCCATCCTGCATCTTGACAAACTCTGGAAACCAACCGGTGGCCCCTCTGCCCACTCAGCCAGGACTCAGTGCCAGTGGACATGGGGAGGAGGGCACACCTGCAACATGGGACGTTGTGACTCTGAGTCAACTCTGATGCCTCTGTCCTCCCAGGCCCTGTGTAACAAAGGACTTTGCAGTTTCCCTTCACCTC